TTTTTTTTTTTTTTTTTTTTTCTAACTTTTTCTGCCGAGCTCTATGCTCTTCTCCTTTCTGCGCACGGTTTCTTAAAGCATCTAAACGTTGGCGCTCGAGTGGCACGACCGTTTCTCGAATGTAAAACGATCGCGACTCTCGATATCATGCACATTATTGCAACGTATCCCGTTCACCAGAAATCGTGAGACGAGACACCAAGCTGTCAACCAAGGCTTTGTATATTAGCCTCGTCGTCCTCTCCTACCCAGAAGAATTCGATGATCGAGCGAGCCCTCGACTCGATCGAATCCCGGTGTTCCAGAGAATATAAACAAAGACAGCACAGATTCGCAAAGAAGGGAGAGAGAAAGAGAAAGAGAGAAAGAGAGAGAGAAAAAAAAAGAAATAGACAAAAACGTAAACGTGTAATACGTAGTAAGACGAGGTCCTCTCACTACCTGACCAAGTGCAATTCTGCGATTCTCACTCTGCACTGGCGTATTCCGCATCCGGCTTCCGGGTATTCGAGACTAGACTCGGGCCAGAGAGACTTGGCCCTGCCAATTCTCGATCGGTTAGTCGCTGCAAAGCCCACATGCTTGTTAAAAAGCACACACCACGATTTTCTACGGTTTCCTTTCACACAAGAGCAAAAAAACAAATCGGCCACATTCACACGATCATTCCCGCCTGCTCCTTTCCACCTCCTCCTCCTCCTCCTCCTTCTCCATCTTCATCTTATATCGTCGATTCTCATGATCTTCGAACGCTCATTCACGCACGTTCACGCATCATATTGATGGCTACCATCGCACACGAGAGACGGGCAAGTAAGAAAAATCACACGCACGCGGGACCAAACACAATACAAAGCTAATTTCCCGATATACAATCCAATAGAGAAACGATATCTCGTTTCTATCTTTATATGAAAATTTTGATTTTGATTTATGAATTATGGCAAAGTAATTTTTAATATCTGGAGATGAAAAATGGATAATTCTTAATGATCCTTGTCTTCCAAGGTAAAATTTTATCGATTGTAACTCGGGAAGCTCCATGTTAGCATAGACAGACGTACGGACAAATGACGCAAGCGAGTTACAGATAATACAGATTATCATGGCGTACACAGGTGTATGAGAGAGAGAGAGAGAAAAAAAAAGAAATGATTTTATATATATACACACACGCACACAAATCTATACGTATGAATGCGCACGTATAAAGAAGATACACAAAAGATCTAGATGCATACGGATATATATGTATTAAAAAAACAGAAAAAAAAAAAAAAATAGGAATAGGGCACGATATCTAGAAAAATAACTCGTAACTAAATGCACAGAAGAGCGTGCGTGTATGTGCGTATACATACATATGAGGCTTGCGTACGCACGCGTAACACGCGCGTACACACTTGAAAAAAATCTTATTAAATATATATATATATATAAAAATAGTTAAAATATGTAAATATATATATATATATGTTGTAAAAAAAGCTATATATAAATATGTATACATATAAAAATAGAATATTAAACACTATTAAAGATATATATATATAAATGTATATATGAATATAAATATATAAATAATGTATATATATATATAAAAATGTAAAAAAGACGTATATTAATATATATATAAAAGTTAAAAAAGATAGTAAAAAATTTGGCAGTATAAACATGAAGGGCGGGGAGAATTGGGGTTAGCGGTACGAGTATGTAATTAGAGAGTAAAAGCGATTAAGTGAGAGTATGTATAAATATATCTATATAAATATCTATATAAATATATAAAAAAAGACACAGATAGAAAGAGAAGAAATATATATATATATATATAGAAATATAAATATATTATATATTAAAAAAAACAAAGAAGGGAATTATCTTTGGGAGAATGGAAGTAAAAGAGAAGTAATATAAGACGGGATGCGACCGAGGCCGATTATTTCGGGTTGATGGTCTGAACCGGTTGTTGGTAAATCCATTTTGAGGGGGGGTAAGGTTTCAAAAGGGAAATTACATTCTATAATGATATATCGATAGAAAGAGATAGAGAAAGAAATAAGAATATATATATATAATATATGTCGTAAATATAAATATGTATATAGAGAGAGGAATATAGATCTATTATATATAGAGACGAGATAAAGAGTATAAAAAACGCGGCTGTAAAATTTTTTTTTTTTTTTCGGTGGGACGGGGGGCAACGTACCCGGTCGTGCTGCAAGCGCGTTGAGGACGTCTCTTGTAAAACTCCACTTCGTCCACCGTCCATACGGCGCCTTTCACGTTTTCGACTCGCATGAAACATTTGTGGAGAGACAGGTTGTGTCGCACTGCGTTCTATACAAAATAATACACAGACTAAATAAGCAACGCAAAAAACGAACGAAGCCAACTCAATCGCGAGGCCGGCTGTCGATCGGGGAACACGATTCGATGGCGTGTATTTTTTTTTCTCTTTTCTTTTCTTTTTTTTTCTTTTTTCTTTTCTTTTCTTTTTTTTTTTTTTTTAAGTATAGGCGGCATTCCGTCATCCCCGGCGTCGGATGACGATGACAAGGACGAAGACGACGACGGAGACGACGACGACGACGACGACGACAATGATGACGATGACGACGACGACGATGACGACGATGACGACGACAACGACGACGACGACGACGACCATGACGGCGATGATGATGATGATGATGATAAAAACCGATACACGCTGAGATGAAACGAGGATGGATGAGATATATTCTGCCCGTCCCGAAGAAACATCGTGAGGATAAAAAGGTGGTATTTGCTTCACAGGATATTGTGAATCTTTCTCTGTTATCTTTGTGGGCTCTTTTTTTCCCGATCTTTAGACAAGCTGTATCGTGTCTCTTGTAAAGAAGCATGTCTATAGACTTCAGGCTATCACTTTAACGTAACTCCCGTCGTAAAAATTTACAGGCTTGAATAACGCGTCGATGAAAATAGAGTGGCGGGTAAAATGGAGAGAGAATTTAAAGTGGCAGCCTGATTTTGCGATCTCTAATTCGAAACCGGTCGAACAAAACAGAAAAGCAAAACCGAGAAACTGATTGAAGAGTGAATTAGTAGTAACATCGTGTGTGAGCAGCAAAGGATACCCGGCTATGGTCGCGCAATGACAAGGCCGTAATAGGACAATAACGAACCAAAACGATTAATCGAAAGATACACGGTATAATGTGGCATTCCTTTATCGTTAATGCACAGCTAGTCATCTAAGTCTAGGGGCAACGACAACAATCATACATGCCGCAGGGCCGTACAAAATTCCAAAAGAAGAAGTTAAAAAAAAAAAAAAAAAAAAAGAAAAAAAAAGAAAAAGAAAAAATAAAAAGTAATGGAGAGAGAGAGAGAGAGAGAAAGAGAGAAAGAGAGAGAGAAAAAAAAAGATAAAAGAAATTTAGGAAAATTTTTCGAAGAAGAAGGTCGCGACGTCGATGGTCACGACCTCCATCCAAATGGAAGAAGACGTGAAGATCCTTGGCCTGGTTGAATCTGGTCCTGCTCCCCTGTAGGATGGTGCCCGTTGAACCTGTGCTTGCATTTTTTCAAAAATTTTTCAGATACACATAACCATGCGAGGCGAAGCGTCATGGCAAACGTCGATTACTTCCACGCACACTCGCACACACGCAGAAAACACACGCGCGCGCGCACTCTTGCCAACAAGCGGATCGTATATGATCGTATTACGATTTAACTGAGATCTATCGTGACATGATTTCAATCAGAAATCAAATTTTGCGGAGAGATCGCGTCTGGATTCGCGGTGGAAATGATTCGATGGAGATCTTCTTTGAAACGAAAGTTTTAATCACGAAAGCTTACTGAAAATATTGGATGGGATAGAATGTGATAGAAATCATCGTGATAGATGACAAATGAATCGCAATACGGGCGTAATATTCACATGTTACCGAATCTCCCCCTTTAAATCGGGAAAGCAACACAATTATCGTTACCAGCTCGTCTGCTCGGCACATCACTTAGCCTGTTAATTCAAATTAATACGTAAGATTATCTGAGATTCTTGAAAGCTCATCCTTTCTAGTTAAAACGCATTCAGCTTAATCTGCTCGTAAATGCAAATTGCACAACCAGTCATTTCATCTTTGTGACTTGCAATCAAACGTTGCATAACTCGAGCCACGCTGAGTTCATCCATTTAAAGGAGAAAATTATTTTAGATTTCCTAGATGCATGGTAGAGCGCGACCAATATATTTGCTATCGAATCCGAGAAGATATTTAAGATTCTACGCGCGGCTCACTTTAAATATGATATCGCGAAATCATTCGTTTTAAGACGAGATTGAACGTTCGATATTTAAATCGAGAAATGAAACACTCGTTTCGAGAGAACAGAATTGAACGATTGCTGTTATATATTCGTATCCGAAAATAATATCTTCTCAATTTGTTCTCAAAAACGAACTTCAAATTTGACACGACTCGTCGTACCTTCTTTCTTCTTTTTTTTCTTTTTCTTTTCTTTTTGTATCTTTTTATGTCCTGTGGTATTATAAGTTTTTTTCTTTTTTTTTTTTCTTTTACTATAGTCAAGAGATATACCTTCCACGTTGCTGCGTTGCGCCGGAAGTAGCAGAATGTGTTCTGGAACCAGTTGTAGATCTCGTTCAAGGTCAACTGTTTATCCGGCGACTCGATGATCGACTATCAAACAAAAAGAAGAGGAAAAAATGCGCGCGATTTGATTAAGTGTTCGACAAATTGTTAAGGGGCGTTTAATATTATCCTCACCGGTTTCGAGGGTTCCTTCGAAAATTAAATCGATTAAAAGGGACGCTCAATTTGTTCTGAATTATGAGATCTGAATTATGATCCGAAAATGTACGTATCGAATGGTTCACTCACCTGTCTAATTAATGATGCATATGTAAACGGCGGTCTGACGTCGGCATTCTTGTAAAATTCCCTATTTCGTTGAATTTCTGAAATTTTAAGAATCTTCGCTTGTTTCGTTTCTCAAAAATAATGGGAAATATGAAAAAAAAAAAAAAAGAGAGAAAGAGAGTTATGCGATGATGCTTTTACGCGATCGAGGGTGAAAGATCATCGACATCATCTCAGGATGGGTTGTTGCTCGGATATACAACTAACAAGCAATGTGCTAATGATTTAAAAAGCTTCGGGAATAATTGTCCCGGGAAGCGAAAGTTTTAGAAAAGCCATTAAAAATGCTAAATGTGTTCGCATTTTTTATTTTCATATCAAAATCGAGCCGCGATTATTTACACCATTTTCTTTTTTTAATTTTTTAGCGGTAAATTTATGGTATAAAAGTAATGAACAGACTGCGGATTTTCTTGCAAATACATATAAATGATACAAATACAGGATGTTCGATTAGAAAAATTACGAAAAACCTATTTGATCGAGCAAAAACAAAGATTTAATTATTTCGATCTTAAAATTAGATTAAAACGATATTGAAATTAGAAAAACTTTGAACCGTTATAACTCCGAAGATAGTTATTTCCGATCAAAATGAAATGAAATCTTGCTCTTCAAAACACTTTTTTATTTATCTCGATACGACTTCCGGTTCCCGAGATATCGTCGCGTAAAGAAAAAGATAATTTTTATTTCATTTATTACAATTTCTTATTGTCCTTATTGTTTACTCGCATCTCGTCTCACTGACCTATGCCAAATTCTAGGCAAGCGATTCTTGGAATCAAACGTAGCGTATAATTCTTAGAAGAACGTACAAGCACGCGTTTCCAGGAAAAAATGTAGGTCGCCCATTCATAATTTCCGTGCTACGAAAACTTTCGACTTCTTATATCTCGGCAATCTATCGAGATATCGGAATAAATTAAAAAGTGACTTCAATGGCACGATTTTCTCTATTCTCTGAATGGATTTAAAGGATATATAATTTATCGTATTTTTTACTCGCGTAATAATCGTTTTAACTGTATAAAGATCCGCAGTCTATTAATGAAATGATAAAATTAATCGTGATGTCGTTTATACGGGATTAAAAGGAATCGTTACATTTCGTGATCACATGCCAAATGAAGCATATAATCGAGTAAAAAAAAAAAAAACTATATACGACATTCTTAAAACTAGATCAAAGAATAAGCGAAAAGCGATTAGATGTTTCAGAAACGTATAGAAACGAATACTTCTCGTTCATCCCTCTTTATAGAAAATTGGGGGGGATCGAAGTATCCGATTCTCTATTCTATAGAAAGAAGAAGGGATGAAAGGGGGTGAAAGAGAGATAAAGTTGTCCAGCATGCAAAAGGGTGCACCCTTTAAGAAAATCCTTAAAGCCACCAAAGGAGCGTGGAAAGAAGGTTGACAGTACCTTGTTGGACGTCAAGGCCAGCACGCTCCAGCATGTAGGGCAGCCCTACACGGTGGGGAGGGCGGGCAGCACAAGAAATAAGGAAACAACAGAAGCATCGGTAAGAAAAAGGTTCGAACTGGCGTACGCTGAGAATTTATTAAATTTTCTTCAATTTTTTTTTCTTTTTTCTTTTTTTTTTTTTTTTTTTTTTACTAACTTTTTTTTTTCTTACTTTCTCTTTAATTCCTTCTTATTTTTCACTTATTTCAACTTTGTATCTTTGTATTCTTTGCACCTTTCGCTCTCTATGTACCTATTAAATTTTTCCTACGTTGCCAACAAGGTGTCGAACACTGTAGCTCACGTGACATTGTTGCTACCGTGAATGAATCTGTGCGTGTGGTAGAATAGTTTTACGATAGGAGAAAAGGCACGAGAATCAAGAGAGGACCGTAAAGAGCATTTGCTACAGGATTTTCTTTTTGTCGGGATTTATTCGACGAGAACGAGCCGGGAAATGCTTTCTAAATTATTCTTTTCTTTCTTTTTTTTTTTTTTCCATTATATAAGGCATAAATTCACTATCGCTTACAGTGAAATTATGTACATCATGTTAAATTAACTTATATTCATTATTGCTTCTGATTCTACGTATTTCTTTTTCTACATTCGTAAGATAAAAGAAATAATGATAATAATAGCATTTCACAGATCGTGCGTTCCCCCGACTGAATTTTTGTTAAATCGTTACCTTCGTTAATATCTATTCCAGATCTATCGACGGCTACTCTGCGCCTTACAGTGCCCTCGTCATACAGTCCTACGAATAGTATTCAATTTCTAAATTCACATGTCTTTCGTTTCACCTTTCTCGGGACGATATTATATCTTCATATCTCGTATAAAGACTTTGATAAAGACTTACTTATACTTTTATTTTTTTTCTTTGGAAAATGGTTGTCGCAAAAGAAACAACAATTATCAACAATTATCAATATCAGAAAACTACTATTACTACTACTTCCGTTTATCCTAACCATTTTCCTGATTTCGTAGGCAAAACGGAAGAAACGCACAAGTTCAACAATGTCAAACACGATTTCTCGCAAATAAAAATCGCAACCGATTGATGCCTGATTTGATCCATGAATGAAAATTACTAATTAGATATCACAGTTTAAGACAGTAATCAGAACGGTAAGTAAATGAGATTAAAGGAGAAAGTCTTACCTCCTGCCAAGGAAAGCGCGGATTTATCACTGATACGTCGTCTGATGGGCCCCGCCATGCTGGGCATGGTAGGCATGGTGGGCATGCTACCAGGCATATTCGGCAACGGAGGCATCCCTGACATGTTGGACATGTTAGGGATGGGTGGCATAGGTGCTCCGGCCGAAGGTGGCAGTTGTCCACCTGCTGGTGACCTGACCGCTGACACCAAAGCGGACATCGAGACGGGAGACACTTGAGAGACACCGAAATTCGGTGGTGGCTGGCTCATCAGAGCGGTGGAGAGATTTAACTTTGGTATACTCGAGCCCGTCTGAAAAAGGAAACGCCACGGTGTGCACACGGAGAGAAGAAGAACGCCTGCGGCCATTATTTACACGGTTTCGAAGATCGCCGACCTTTTTCTTTCTTTTTTTTTTTTTCCTTCGAGCGAAATCTCGAATAGCAGCCGAGCTGCTATTTAATTCCTCGTGTTGTTCCTCCTTCTCGCGTATGTTGTAATCAATACAATTTGATAAAGATATTCCTTTTTTGAAAAACTTGTGCACGTTTCAAGTACACTCGATGAAAAAAAGGAAAAGATGAAAGTAGGTGGAAAATTATCATCCGTTTATAGCGCGTATTATAAAAAAGATGGAAGGAACAATGTACGTTCGAATATGTTGATAGAAAATATTCGAGTGGTACAGTTTCGATATCAGAGATGATCCGCGAGCACGATGAATGGAAGGGCGGGGCTCCTCTCTTTCGCGTTAAAATAATTAAGTCGGGCAGAGAGGACGAGCCACGCAGCCGCGTGGAGAGGGCTAATGCGATATTGGTATTCTCCGACTGTCGGACTTGTTAGAGGTTTTAATTAAGGCGATATAAAATCAACGAGGACCCGATGAATTATTAATGCAAACTTTATGTATAAATTAGCGAGTCGACTCGGCGGCGCGTTAAAACTGAAAACTGGCGTTGTTGTTAGCCGCGGCAAAGAGAGCTCGTAAAATTCCCCGAGCACCGTGAAAATCTGGCTTTACGAGCGAGGAACGGCCCCCGATCCTACCGCAAGAGTTTACCATCCCGACACGATCGTTAGGAAACGTTTTTCCGGATACCAAACCCCGGTACAGCGGTTTCACCGATACCCGAGCAAACATAACCCACCCATCTTACGATTATTGCTATCCATTATCGTGCTCGTACGATCACTGTGTCATTTTACAATTTACAAGTTACAATTTACGCTTACATATTGTTTGTTCGCTCGGTAACTTTCGATCGACCGTCATTTCTGACACAGCGCACACTACACTACCTCCGAGAATCCCTTCTTCGATCGTGCATCGAGCACGGTTTCGATTCAAAAATTACGATAAAAGTTTCGCCGCGCACGAAAATTCAAATTATTATATAAATCGACAATATATAAATCGTGATCTATGATAATTCCAACTCACCGATGACTCGGACGACTTTGGCGGTTCGGGGGAAGCCATTTGTTTCGCCACGTGCAGGTGATGCATCATAGCGGTTAACCGGTCCCGTTCCTTCTGCAACTGGATCTCCAGTTGCGAGACCACTTGCATCTGGACCCTGGCCTGCGCCGTCGATCTGTCGTCCAGCGTGTGCTCCGTGTTCAAGTGTCTGAAAAAAAAAAAAAAAATTGAACAAGTTACAGCTTCGTTCCCGATACACGAATATATACGATACGATACGCGTGTATCCTGCGGTCGAAAGATCGCTATGGGGGAGGGGAACACAACCCTCTGTCCGTAGATCCTTTGCTGCGGCGGCGGTCTAATCAAATTATGTCGCGAAGAATGTCGGATCGTTTACGGGAGGGAATAATCAAAGCAGCGTTGCGTTACAAAGAAACGTTTGTCTCCTCAGACCACCGTGGTGAATCTTACCCCAACGGGGAAAAAAATGAATCGAGTTCCAAGGTGGTCGGAGAAGGGAGGGGAGCGGAGGGGGAATCTCCCAACGAGATTCCGTATTTAAGAATATCCGTAATCCTTCTTCGTCGCAGCAGGCCGGTGTATCGCGAGCGGTGGAAAGAGGGTGAAGAAAGCGGAAGGAGGGGGGGCGAGAGCAAGATTGGTTAAGACCAAGAATACGGAAGGTGGGGCGGGGGGACAAGGGGGGCAGGGGGAAGGGGATTAGACCGAGAGGCATAACGATGCGGTCGAATGTCGTGAATATTAATGAGACAAAGGTAATTAGCGTTTTTCCTTTTTTTTCTCTCTCTCTCTCTCTCTCTCTCCCTCTCTCCCTCTCTCCGTCCTTTTTTTAAGTAACGGCTTGTTTGAGGGAGTTGGCGGCGACGAGCCGCGTGATTACTAGGGATTGCCGGAGACCGAGGGAGGGAGGCGGATGCTACCTCTGCTTTGAAACCGATGGAGAAGGTGGCGGATGTCAATGAGATACGCTGACTCGAGCGATTTTTCTACACTTCCTCTAACCACCCCCGCGAGCGTCGCCTTCGCCTAACTCATTCTCCACGAGGGCGAAATTGCCGACTTTATTCTTCCCGTTTCTCCTCTCTCTTTCTCGTTCTTCCAACGATGACTCTTGTTCCACCCCTGCGCTGGGATTTACCTACTTTCCGATATATATATATACATATACGCATACCAGAGATCTCAAACTTTTCTGGGATCGATGGATTCGAAAAATATGATTGGAAATTTTATTTTTTATTTTGATCAAACGAATAATAAGATTAAAGGTAATCTCGATTCGGGATCTCTGGTTTTTGTAAAGCGATAAATAAATAAGTTAAGCGTAGTTTAAATATTTTGCGGACTCACTTAAGGAATGCTTGATAGTCTTCACAAATAACTTCACAGCCCGGCCACTTACAGACCCCATGACCGTACAGGGGATGAACCTTGTCGTTGGAGGAAACGTCCAGCGGTTTCTCGTCCAATGGAGTGGTTCCGTTCATATCCGACCGCCGACTCGACACTGTCGAATTGAGAAGTCCTGCGATAGTCCGGAAACGAACGTCGCCATTTTCCAAGTAAAAAAAGCAAAAGAAAAGAAAGAAAAAGAACGAAAAGAAGAATTGCGGAAGGAGTGCGAAGGAGTGCAGAGAAAATGGAAAGGGAAGAATGCGTAAAGGAAAGAAATCTCGATTCTCGATCATCTCAAGATATAGGGGGAGAATTTCTGTTTACCATTGAGTCCAGCCACGGATTTTGGAACGTTCGAGTTCTGATGCGATTCCGGACCATCCGACGTGTCCGATTTCCACATTGGTAGTCCCTCGCCAGGTTGGAGACCTGTCCCAAATTACACAAATATCACGGATTAACGATAACGATTTCAAACGAATTGTAATAAATAATATAATAAAATTCGACGAAAATCTTCTTTTCCAGTCTTCTTTCGTCGATTCCGGCCAAGTTTGTTGGTGCTCACGCCCGTGGACAATATTTTCGAGCGTGGGGAGGAAAGCACGCGAAGAAGCACGCGTGAAGAGAGATTCTGTCATTCTCTCGTTCGACCCCCGACCCTGTTATTCCACCCTTCCTCTTCGCTTCCTGCACGCGCGCCAGAAAGAAAAACATCGGTGGAACGAGATCCGACGCAACCGAAACACTTCCACGCGGAAAGTTTCGCCCAGGGTGAAGTGGAAAATGAGAAAATGCGGGGATTATTCGACGGGGGATGGGAAGGAGTCGAGATTGGCCCGATGGATTATCGTTTAAATCAGGAGGGGCCAGGATCGACTTACTTTCCAAAGTTGTATCCGTTTCGCTCGTTGTAACCATTGTCTCCAATTGTTGTGAATGTGACGCGATATTTAAAAAGATAATTTAAAAACACAGAGAAAGAGATTCGCGAAGGATTGAGGATTGACACTTTCTGCACTTACCCGAAGAAGGATTGTGACCCTGAAGACCCAGACCCTGTTGAAGAAGATATTGGCTCTGCGTGATCTGCAGTTGCTGTATCAGACGTTGCTGTTGAAGCGCCAATTGCTGAAGCGGGGCGGACGCCTTCTTCTTGTCCGCCGTTTGCAACAGATGCGTCTGCTGGATCACGTTCAACTGCAACTGTTCCTGCAGTTGCTGTATCGCCTGCTCCAACTTCTTCCTGCCCAGCTCGGCGAACTGGTGTTGATGCTGCAAATATATTTCGATTTCGAACAGCCGTCAATTTTTGCTCGTCCAAATCACCTCGGGATCGATTCACGTCGGGATAATTCCTAGGCAACTCTCGGGAAATGAGAAAGTTCTCGTTTTCGAGAAATTTGCTCGAGGAGAGAGAAGGAAAAAAGCGAGGGGATGGAAAAGTTGCATATCTTGGCGCTGCTGAATAAATCTGAGACTCGGATAATTCGCAGGGCGAGGCAAGAAGAAGACAACAGGGGGCAGTTGATGGGTAGCCAGAAGACAAACAACGAGACACAACGGCTGATGGCGATGCTTAATTGCTTACCTCATCCCCTCCAAAGTTCATCCCCCTTCTTCCCTAAGCCTGGAGGATATTTTAAAACAAACCCACCGAAGTAGACGCCTCTTATAATATCATAGAACGAACGAGAGAATTGCGCGATTAACGAGACAGAACGAGATCTCTTTCTTTCTTTCTTTCTTTCTTTCTTTTTCTTTTCTTATCGAAATCGAATTTCCTTTTCTACGCGCGTCGCGATCGTGGAATCGGCTCGCGACGATAATGATCGAAGAACGTTAAATTCTCTGTAATTAAGATGGTCTTTCGCACGAGCTCTCGCGCAATAATCTGTTCGAGTGGACTGTCTAAATTTGTAGAGTAAAGGACACCGGTCAGACCATGCCGCTAAATAAATATTTGATGCCTCCATCGAAGCTATCGAGCTTGTATGCGAAACCGACAATATGTATTTGCGTTAAAACGTCCTTTGTGCTGTTTACGGGAGACGTGTAAGAACAAATCCACGTGAATATTAATAATTCAATAAATTAAATTGAAAAACTTTGAAATACCCTCCTCGATATAATCGGGACATATGTATAATTGCAGAAGAGAATAATTTCTTTCGGACGCACGCCACGATAGATTGGAAATTAGCGACACTGTTTGCTGAGCATCGAAATTCCCAGCCCCGGTGGATAAAATTTTCGAACCGTTAGAATTCCTCTACCTAGATGGAAAAGTTGAAGAGGAAAAAAGAAAAAAGAAAAGAAATCTCGATAATTCGACGTAGGAACGTGATGAAAATTATAAAATGTTTGGGAACTGAAAATAGTTTCAGGAGAGGCGTTCACGCGAGAATGCGACGGAGGAGGAATAGCTTTGCTCGAGACACATTCTTTCAGGCGGCTGTTATCCTTAAAAAGGTTGTCCGAATGTTTGTACAAGTGTTGCAAAGAAGAGGAGAAGGGAAGAAAGAGGAAGGTATCCCATCAAACGGACGCTTTTTATAATTAAAATTATCAATGGCCGTGGGAGGGTGATAAAAGGCGGTCTGTTTACCCGCCGGAGTATCTGAAAAATGTTTAACTTATGCCAAGATGCAAGATGCTTGCTCGATGAAAAGGACAAACTTCGCTAATGTACTCTTTGGAGAAGCGGACACAATAAACCGGAAAGAATTGAGCAACGAAACCCGAGATTCCTTCTTCGTATTCTTCAACAGCGAGGATTCAAAGAATAAAGAATACTTACGTCTTTGAGGGACGAAAAGTAGCCGAATCGTTCCTGATTGGACGCATGCTCCGACGAGGAATCCTGTAAAGAATATTATCGACTCGATGTATAAATCATCGATTGTATTTGCAATTATATTTGTATACGATACAATAAAATATACGATAATCGTAAAATAATAGACAATATTCAATAACCTACAACACAGTGATCCAAATCCTTCCGACTTATCCCAATTCAGTTCCAAAATTTCTCTAAAATACTTCTTCATCTCGAAAGAAATCGTATCAGACATTGATTCCCGAATCATTGGAATCAAAATGTTACAAAACACTTACCTGATGATGTTGCTGTTGTTGCTGTTGTAAATAGAGCGAGTGTTGCTGCATGAAGGATTGCAGTTGGGTGGGGCTGAGTATGTGTTGTTGCAGCAGTTGTTGCATCTGGTGGATGCCGCTAGCCGGGCTGAGCATCATCTGCGAGGGATTTTGCGAAGGTGGTGCCCCTGGCGGCCCTCCCGGCGGGGGACCCTGCGAAGGATTTGGCGGCGAACCCCTCTGAGGGGCCTGCGGACTCTGATGAGGACTCGGTTGGGGACCAGGCGCCCCCGAGCTCGGCTGTTGCGATTGCTGCGTGATGATAGGCTGCTTTTGCTGGGTCATGGGTGCTGCTGTCACTGCGTGCCCAGCGGGACTGAGCTTTCCATTGCTCTGATACTCGATCGTGAGCTCCTGTTGCTGCTGCTGTTGCTGCGTTGGCTGCGATTGCTCCGTCACGCCACCACCTATCTCGTTCCGATTGTTCTCACGGTTACGGACAGACAGTCGATCTCGATCTCGATTCTCGCGCTCCCTCGACGAGGGGACAGTGTCGCGCGGTTGCTGTTGCTGTTGTTGCTGCTTCAGGGCTGCAAACAGCGAAGTAGCCTGCAATACGAAAATGAAGATCGAGAGCTCGATCAAAGTCGGTTGCGAGCCTATCCCTAAATTTTTTCTTTTTTCGATTATAAAACTCCATTAATTTATTAATTTCTATCTTTATTTCTATCTTTTGGCGACACGTAAAAAGAAAAGAAAAAAAAAATGTTCGGATAATAATTTAAACTCGGTACTCGTTTAACAACGAGATAAAGGAGTTTCTGTTTTGGCGACACCCGGTGCTCGCGCAAAGTCAAACGCGAGATAACAAGAAGGGGTTGTTGGAGAGACGGTTGTTGCAAGGGACGAGAGAAGAAGCCGGGCGAGAACGAAAAGAGGGAAGAAGAAGCCCCGGGGCGGAATATTCATGATATAAATGCCGTGTAATGTGCGCGCGTTAAACTTCCACCGTGTTTTGAGCAATATTGATCTTATCTAATGGTATTCGAGCCCGAGACGTTTTGGTATCCTCTCATCGTCATTGGCTGGCTTCGGGAAGAGAGAACACCGAACGAAGAAGGAAAACTCGCTGTTGTTTGAATCGCGCCGACTCCACGGTCTCCTTTCCTCCTTGTTTACGTAGCGAGATTTGTTTTATTAAGTTCTATCATCAAGTAGATTGCGGAGTGTAAAAGCGGAACACTGTGTTACCTCCCTCCCCCTTCCCCCCCCCCCCCGATTCTCTTCCAGTTTCTCCTCGAAATTCTTCCGGAGGGGGACGAGTTAATTCCGCGATAGATAGAAACGATGAAAAGCAATTTTTCATTTTTCATTCATTCGACGCGGAAAGAATACCAAGCATCGTATTCGAAGATCAACATAATGACTTGTTCTTTCCTCTCCTCTTTAATCGTGTTTGCAGAAGCGTCTCGCGGAACTTCGACTTGTTTGTCAATTGCTACGGGACATCTTTCATCGATTCCTCGAAACGACCAATTCCTCAAACAATACCTCCAATACATCTGCCATAGCCAGCCAACCTGTTTAGAATGCCCGCTTCGAAACCTGCGTTTCCGCGTGGCGTGGAGACGCAGAGGTTCCCTCGAGGAGCGGAACGACCGACTACGCACGATGAATCCTGAAAACTCGCGATCGAAGGTCGGTCCTCGCGCGCGACTACTATTCGTCGAATAGTAAGAAACCGCGCGAGAAAGGCCGAGAGAGAAGAAAACAGAGAGTCTCGTGTCAAAGATAAATTTAAAATGGATTCCTCTCTAACTTGTCGCTCTCTCTCTTTCTCTTTTTCCTTCTCGCTTCTTCACTCGTTTCGAGCGAACGGAAAGTCAGCCTAGCGATTGTTTCTCCGAGCGTGAAAAGCGTGTGTCTCTCTCTCTCGGATCCCGAGGTCCTATGCTAATCTTATTTGTGTACGATTACGTATGTTTATAACATGCAAAGAAAGTCTCGAGCGGGGGAAGCGCAGGACGTTATCAGTGTTTAGTCAGGAATGGCGGCGTTCCGTCTCCGAAGCGCGTTCGGAAGCGTGGGCGGAAAGGAAAAAACGGTGTCGTGGAAAAACAGAGGAGGAAGAAATCGCCGCACGAAAATCCACGATTCTTCTCAGGAAAAAGCGGCGCAAATGTCGACTCCGTGCGACATCCCGCTCTCGGATCCTCGCTCGATTTCTCGCGCTTCATTCCCGAATTCTCCGAATTCGACGGAGAGGCGAAATTTCGCGAATTTTTTCGAAACGTCCCCGAGGAGTCGGCTGGGTCTTCTTGGAAAAAAACAATAAGGAAGGATTCGAGAGGCGAGGAGCGCGAGCGACAGGGCCGTTTACTCAACGAAATTAACGAGAAGCAACGATCGGCAGGAGGTTTTAATCCACTTTAGCCGGAGACGCACAGCCCCGGCTAGATCGCGATCCTTTAATTCGCTAATTAATACCGAGTCGGCTGATATTCTCTCTCTCTCTCTCTCTCTCTATATCTCTCTCTATCTCTCTATCTTTCTCTCTCTCGACCAGTTCTAAGAGAAGAAACGAAGAATCTTGAACGTTGAACGAAGCGTCGTGTCACCCTGGGTGAAAGGGGGTGGGAAAAAAAATCGCGGAGGAACCGAGTCGAGGGTGGGTTGGGAGGCCACGAAAAAAATGGGGGCCAACCGAGGAGGAGGGGGCAAAGAGGGTAACGACGACGAAGCTCGACGTGTGTACACGACCGGGGCCAAAGGAAAAAAATATAAGGGTACGGAAAGAATGAAAGTATAAGAGCCGACGTTGAAGGGCCATCGACTACAGATAAGAGGGACTCCTAAGACTCTTTTAAGAAAAGGTTAAATAAAGGTCGGGGAGCCGCGCTTGTTGTTGGCTGTTCAGATTCCTTCGACCCCTTTCCTCCCCACCCTGGGACCTGGTAACGCCACTTATTTGAATCCCGAAGCCTCCTTCGACTTCAGCCCCGCGCTACTGCTACGTGGTCTTCTCGTCTCGCCAGACCTTCATATCTTTTATATATTAGAATTTTCACCAACCATCCACCCGCTTCCACCACGTCTTTTCCCATGTACATATATAGATATTTCTTGCTCCTTTTCTCTCTGTTTACTGTTTGGATTTATTCCAAACTCCCTCTTCGCCTCTTCTCTGTCTCACCATGCCTCGAAAGAACCGAGAGAACCTTCTGCTACACCCTCGTGTCTGTGTATATGAGTTCTCCTCCCTTGATCCTCCTTCCTTCCTTCCTTCCTTCCTTCCTTCCTTCGATTTTCGTCTTTATACTTTCCACTCCCCCCCCCCTCTCCCCCCCTCCACTCTCGAGGAGACCCTTCCATCCTCCCGCTTCTTCTTCCGCTTCATCTGTCTTTGAAAAGCATCGAAACTATCGGTGGCTGAGCAACGCAGGGCCGGGCCGCTCCCATGCTCGTGACTCACCCAGAAGGAGATTTCGTGAAATACGCGACAGCGTGACGCGAGTGTCATTTCGATGGCGAGAAGGAGGCTATCGAGGATTCGCGACACGAGTCGAAAAGTAATTTCCTCGCAAGCTGGAAGGAAAACGTCTCGAAGGAAGCTGGGATAGGGGACGGAAGATTCGCGTTCGGGACAGCGGGACATTCGATCAATCCGGGAGGCGGCTCGATGGAAATCGATACGGATGTAGCGGATGCCCGACTCGTTACGTTGCCACGGTGCCCCGAATGTTTATTTAGCGTCGTTTTATACGCGCCAATTAAACTGCACGCACAGAGAGAGTTTTAGCCTCGGACGTCATCGGGACACTTGTTACAGAGGGGGGAGGGAGAAAAAAAATACAGGAGAAAAAAAAAGACAAAGGGAGGGAGGGAGGGGGGGGAAAGAGGGAGAGTTGTCCGGGGGAAAAAATTCGGCGATTTGCACTGTCGATCCGTTTATTCCACAAATCCGAATCGGATTTACCTTCTAGCTTTTTCTCGCATTCCATATTGAACATCCCTTTTGGATCTGTTAACCGTGATATTTTCATAGCCGCGATACGCCATAGCGGGAATATTCTATTATGTATGTATTGATTAAAATTCCCGTTCGGATCTCTGTGCACAGTACCGGGAGAGAGCTCCATGTTTGATTGATTTTTAACATCGTAATATCTGTGCACCGAACACAGTTGAAATTCCTTCTTCGCAACGTTCGATCATGTGAAATCGTGGCCCCGTGAAAAAAAGAGAGAGAGAAAATTCTACTCGCCCTTTATCCATTTTCCTCTCTATCGCGATCGAGCTCATTAGAAGTGAAATTCCTTTCCACTCCTTTTCAACGAACTCTTAAATCGATCAGGGGAGAAATGATATATAAATGTATCCGTTCTCGGGAGGAAGATGAAAGATCGATCGAAAAGGTTGGAGCAATTTATCGAGAATTTGCCGCGCAAAATGGAACAACACCTGGACTGGGTGTTACAAAACAAGGGGTTTCTCCTCCTCCTCCTCGTGTCTCTCGTTTCGTATTCACGTCGAGGGCCAATCAGAGACGCGTCTCTTTACACCCGCCTCCTGTTGACGTTTGTCATAATATTTTAATATTAAATCGCGTTACGGACCAGCCATGCGTTCGCATAATCAGACGTTACTCCGTGGCCGTTTATATATATATATATACTATGCCTACTGTAAGTCTACTCGGCGAGAGGAACCTGGCCGCGTGTGAACAACGCACACCCAACAGGGGAGAACGAAAGGGAGAGGGCGCCGCGTAAGAGCGAGAAAGGACGAGACACGAGGAGAAGGAGTGCCGCTCGTCACCCCCTCGCAGTTCCACGGCGAAATGTGGAATACAAATTACTCTGAAAAGTCCCCATTTCCCGCCTCCGTTTTCGCCATCGCTCGCCGCGGCCCCTATGAATTCGCCGAATAATTCGGAATTACGCGTGTCTCTTTGGACGCTGAAACACGCGAGACCTCCTCCCTCCCCTTCGTTCGATCCTATCACTTCGTATATCGTCGCGCGATTTCCAAGTTTGGACACGTTTGAAAGTTCTAACGACGAGTTCTTCTTCTCGTCATGGATAAGGAACGAGAGAGCAAAGTGGGAAGGAAGGAGGTGATAGATTGAATAGATACAGAAAATGAAAATAAATCGGGGTGCAGATAGGGAGGATTAATAAATATTTAAGGAGGTACACCTTAGGGAGAGGATTGCAACGGAAACGTGGACATCGACGGCAATGGTCCACGTCGACTTGACGTTTCGAAAAGGATCCTGCAATATTGAAAGGAATTAACGATTCCAGGAACGTCTGGCGGGCGAGCCGGTCCAGCGACTAGGAAGAGGACCTATAGAAAAGAGAAAAGGGTGAGCAAGCCCAGGGCGGGGGTGGTAGTAGGTTTCCTGGGACGACTCGGTAGCCAGCTGGATATTTGGAAAATGGCTAGAACCAAGCGGACGGAATGTCTCTGGTCTCCATCGTTAACGGCCTGTGTACATTATAGATGGTCCCGTGATTGGTTCGTCAGCCTCTCAAAAACTCGAGCTCCTATCGTCGTAACCGTCCTCCTCTTTTCGCTTGGTGTTGTTACCTGGTCCCTCGATCCCC